TAGGAAAGAGAACATTTTGAACAATATGAAAGCCAGTTAGGACCTTTTGACAAGTCACCACTAAATGAACCAGAAGGACTAGGAGGAGAGAGTGGAGATGAGGAGGCAGAGGAAGAAGATACTAGTACTAACATGACATGAATATTACTGGACAATCCAGTGTCATCATTACTAGTGAAGACAGTATTCAGGTATGGAAACAAACAGATTGTTGTAATGTATATTGCAGGAAATTTTGAAGGGAGGTACATTTGGTAAATTTTCCATTTTCATAGTCATTCGCCAATATAAAAATCTACCATTTTGAGTCATTATGTGCATGCTCAATGGCACTGACCACAAATTTGCCAAATTAAAATTCAGCAATTTGCCAAAATTTAGTCCCTTTAAAATTTCCTGCTGTTTACAGTATGATAGTTGTTGATTGTCCAATGACTGTATAGATTGGGACTATAGATGTTGAAGGCACAGATGAAGAGGATATAGAGAAAGGGAGGAAAGGAGAAGGATCGATAGCCAGTAGTTTGTTACCAGTCACTGGTGGTGGTATGGACATATTGAGTCATGATTTACAATATTCATCATCATCAAGCAGTGAAGGAGAGGGGGAAGAGGAGGATATTACTGATATGGAAGAAGTGTAACTTTGTTTATGTGTAGATATCATACAACATTCATTTTTAACTTAAGCACAAAAAATAATTAAATATTTTGCTTACATGTACTATAATGCAAAATGTATTGTGATAATGACTATTATTCAATAAGTTGCTTTATGACAAATGTGTTACTGGTCTTGCAGCTGCAGATCAGATTCTTGTGAGGATCCTGCTAAGTCTAGTCTAGTAGCCAGCCCCTCCCTCTAGTCACTGTCAATCAATCAACAGAGAATGCAGACATAGCAGGCAATACTCTCACCAAAGGACTGAATCTCTTCTGACTGTCATGAACTCAGTCTGCCTCTGTTGAACTTATGCTTTGAGATTAAACACCTGGCCTTTTTATTGTGACTAGAAAAACACAACAGTCAGACACCAATTGCTGCACAAACTTGATTTAAAACTAATCACTAGATGTACATGACATAGTTTAGTTAGTTTATGGTCCAAGCACAAGTTGCTTAGGAACCTGCATAGTCATTGACATTGTTTGTAAACTCAGATTCTTATTTAATAACAACAACAATAATGATAATAATAAATAACAAATTAAATGGAGCCATCAAACAAACTACACCAGATTGAAATGCACTTGGGAACTTGTTTAAAAGTATCATTAACTAATTTTCAAATATGAAGATTAAAAATAAATAATAATTATTAAAATTAAATTAATCCAACCAATTTCTAGTGTTGAGATTTGTATTCCCTAATTTTCTTTAACCTACAGTAATATAATAAATGAAGTGTCATAATAATAAGACTATCTTATTCTTAACTAATTTTCTAAAAGGTCATTATGAAAATGTGAAAAATGATTTTCTATAATACTAATGCATTTATTTTGGATCATTAATTGATAGTACCTTGCTTCCTCTGCCTCTAGTATTTCTGATCTCTCTTTATCTGTTAACTCTTTCATTCTCTCTCTATTGTCTCTATATAATTATAAGCAGTAAGAGGTGTATGTAAGTGTAAGTGTGTGTATACATAATGTGTGTGTGTGTGTTCATTAGTACTTGTAATATATAACACGTCCATCATTATATAGTTCTAATGAGTATGTGTCTGAAGTGATGGAACACCATTTCAACTTATTCTCAATATCAAGACATGACATCTCAACTGGAAATTGCCCATTCTAAGAGAGAGAGAGAGAGCATCTTTATCTTTATTATGTTTTGTATCAATGATTAACCTCTGCACAATAGATATACTCAGCAGGTACTCCACTTAACTCTGACAGCTTTAAAAAACAATAATAATAATGATAATGATATACATACCTATTTTTCATAGTCTTACTCTACATTAATGTTAATATAAACCTATAGACTTGTATTAGTGATTGGCAGTTTTTACCATTATCAAATCTGCCACTTGACATGTGGCAAAAAAATAACTACCGTATATATTCAAATTTTCGAGTGATTAAGATTTTGTGTTTTTAATGAAATGTGCTCAAAAGTTAATATTTGTGTGAGCTAATTTTCGTGTTCTGGCCATAGTCTACATACAATAGAATGGCATTAGAGGTGGTTTAAATTTTGTGGATTTAGGATGAGCACGAGAATAAAGAAATTTAATACAACTTGAAAATTAAGATGCGTACGGTACTACTTATCACAGTATATACAGTTTTAACCTTATAGCATCATAACTGCTCGTTTGAACTCTGAACAAGCACTATCCAATGAAGTGCAATGATAAAATTATAATTACCTTTTCAATAACATGCTTAAGATCATCATACATGTATATATCATCCAGTATAATTTCTTCTATTGGATCAACTGAACACTGTGATGGACGCCACCTTATAACATAAACCTGTTTTAGATACATCTTCTCTGGTCCTATAATAAATATTAATACAATAACCTATTAACCTTACTATAATCAAGTGAAGTAATAATATCATATAGCAGCATTTAATGGCAAGGGGCTAAATTTGGTGAGTTGGCAAATTTTAGAATAACATCAAATTAAAATTGCCAATTATTAGTTGCCATGTGGTAAGAGATAATGAAGTGACCAAAATTTAATCTACAAGTCACCAATTTAGTCCATTTCCCCCCAAAAATAAATCCTGCTATACTGTTCTACAGTTTAAATGAAAATGTTGACTGACCTTTCAATGGTTCCACATAATATGCTTCCATACTAGCATCAATCATCTGATAATTAAGATATACTCTACCAGGGTACACTCCATTCTTGTTACGTAATCTCATTCTACACAATGAGTCACATGATAGTCACATGATGTACTTACTTGTCTAATTCAAGGACGCAGTCAATTCCTTGTACTTTTGCTTCTTCAATAATTTGTTTCTTAAATTCTCTCACTCGTGTACCCTCAGCAACAATAGACTCCATCATATACTTACAAAACTAAAACATAAAAATGATATAAAAAATTATAATAATTAATATTCTTACGTCTGTATTGTTAACTTGTAATAAATATAATTTAATTCTGCACTCTCCTTTTTCTAAAGGTCTACCCAGTCTTACTATCAACTAGGAAATAAACCAAGTAATAAAAAGATTGATGTGTTATTAGTACTTAGAGTTGATATAAGAGAAAAAAAAATGAATCAAATAACATAAAAATACTTTTGATCCAGATAAGATAATCTCATCAAGATCCATCATTTCATATTCTGATTCTCCATACCTACTGATTCCATACATTATAAAACCAGTAGGTGGTACACCAATCAGTGGAACTAGCTTCTCCTTCAATTGAGCTAATGTTATTCTCTTATCAACTTGCACCTGTACCTCTGTATTGAATAACATGATGTTTAATGTTCCTTACAATAATGTAAACTCAATATTACTTCTTTTATCTTCTTCATAATTTATTGATATAATTTTCATTATTGTTCTTCCTTCAGTTACATTAGTTGTACTGAGAGTGGCTTCAGGTTGAGGAGGAGGTAGTGTAATGTCCAATAGTATTGAGTTGAAGTATAAATCAACATATCTGTACATCAAACTATCTTCGTATTCTTTTTGATAATCTATAGAATCCGATGATACATATATCTAAGAAGAAAGGAGAAAGCATGTGTATGTGTGTGTGTGTGTGTGTGTGTGTGTGTGTGTGTGTGTGTGTGTGTGCAAAGACAGCAAGGAGGAAGAAAACATACGGTAAAAAGTAACCTAGCTCATGTACATTATTATTGTTACAATCAACATAACCAGGCTTATCCTGACTTGTTCCAATGTAATGCATGATTAATAGTTACTGTTGCATTCCCCTGTAGACACTCCCATGGATTAAAAATAAATTTACAGTACAAATGAATTGCATTATGCATAAACAGAGGTGGCATACAAACAGAGTTAGGCTCATACAAATAATAACTAGCACTTAATAAATGCCAATTAACACTTACTGTTGGTACTACAAGTTGCTCTCTGTGCAGTTTGTGTGAACTAAATGCATCTCCTTTAAAGAGCACTTCCTTTAAAGAACTTTTAACATCTTCTAAATGTATGACTAAGCGAGCTTCATCAAGCTCTAGTAATCGTAGTAACCTCATACATGATGAATTGAGATTAAATAGCTATTGAGGGTGAAAGAAGTTGAATAACATATAAAAATCTTTCCTCTTACTTCTCCTATATATTGCTTTAATTCTTCAACAGTCCAACCTTCTTCACCTCTTATTTGTTGAGCTGGTTTTACTTCACCAGTTGTCAGATCAACCACTGATATCTCTAGAATAATACCTACACCATCAATCACATGTGCATGTACATGTATTG